TTCTTTTTGATGATGAATGTAATGCCATTCCTCTTCAAATTGTCATTCCTGGGATAGTAAACCACATAACTGTCAGACTCACATGGCCAACACCAGTCCATTTCAGCTCACTGGTGCCTAGGATATCGATGTTTATGCATTCCATTTCATTTTTGACAACTTCCTAATTTCCTAGATTCATATTTTGTACATTCCATGTGCCAGTTATTAATGGATTCTTACAGCTGTTTCTCCTCAATATTAGTTGTGTCCCCATCAGCAAATGAAAGGCCGAAAGCTTTACTCCATTCGCATTATCATGTTCACTTCTATGTTGAGGCAGCAGCTCTTCCCCAGTCATATGTTGAGTGCCTTCCAACCTGAGGGGCTCATCTTCCAGCACCATATCTGACAATATTCTGATGTGGTGCTGTGGATTAATGCGCCAGACTACAAAGCCGTTTGAACTGCAAGAATGGTGGTTCAAGCTCACCAGCTACCCTTCAGAAACCCTATCCAGGGTCACTATGGGTCGGAACCGACTCGATGGCACTTAACAACAACAACAACAATTCATGTTTCAATATTCAATATTCTGGTGCTATCTAACAGTGTTCCACTGCTATGCACAGCAACTTGATGAGTCAGCTGCTGATTGGAAATAGGCTGCAAGCATACACTGACAGAGAACTTCCAGAGGTACAAGCCGGATTCAGAAGAGGCCATGGAACAAGGGATATCATTGCTGATGTCTGATGCATCTTGGCTGAAAGAGAATATCAGAAAGATGTTTATCTGTGCTTTATTGAGTACACAAAAGCTTTCGATTGTGTGGATCATGACAAGCTATGGACAACATTGCGAAGTATGAGTATTCCGGAACACTTATCTGTGCTCATGAGGAATCAGTACCTGGACCAAGAATCAGTTGTTCGAACAGAGCATAGGAACACTGTATGGTTTAAAATTTAAAAAGGTGTGTGACAAGATTGTATTCTTTCACCATACTTATTCAGCCTGTATGCTGAGCAAATAATCTGAGAAGCTGGGTACTATGAAGAAAGAAAGTGGCATCAGGATTGGAGGAAGACTCATTAACAACCTGCAATATGCAGATGGTACAACCTTGCTTGCTGAAAGTGAAAAGGATTTAAAATATTTACTGATGAAGATCAAAGAGCACAGCCTTTGGTATGGATTACATCTCAATGTAAAGAAAACAAAAATCCTCACCATTGGACCAATAATCAACATTCTTATCAATGGAGAAAAGATTGAAGTTGCCAAGGACTTCATTCTTCTTGGATCAAATATCAACATTCATGGAAGCAGCAGTCAAGAAATCAAATGACGTATTGCATTAGGCAAATCTGCTGCAAAAGACCTTTTTACGTTGCAGAGGAAAGATGTTACGTTGAGGACTAAGGTGTGCCTGACCCAAGCCATGGTATTTTCAATAACCTCATAAGCATGCAAAAGTTGGACAGTAAATAAGGAAGACTGTAGAAGAATTGATGCTTTTGAGTTATGGTGTTGGAGGAGAATATTGAAAGCGCCATGGGCTGCCAAAAGAACCAATAGATCTGTTTTGGAAGAAGTGCAGCAGAGTGCTCCTTGGAAGCCAAGATGGCCAAACTTCATCTCTCATGCTTTGGACATATTGTCAGGAGGGACCAGTCACTGGAGAAGGATATCATGTTTGGTAAGGTAGAGAGTCAGAGAAAAAGAGGAAGACCCCAAACGAGATGGATTGGCCAAGTGGCAGCATCAATGGACTCAAGCATGGCAACAGTAGTGAGGTTGGCTCAGGATCGGGCAGTGTTTTATTCTGCTGTGCATAAGGTCACTATGTGTCAGTACCGACTCGATGGCACTTAACAACAACAAGAGCCCTAGTATGACACTTTAGGGTAAACACTTGAGCAGTAACCATAAGGTTGTTGTTGTTGTTAAGTGCCTTCAAGTCGGTTCCGGCCCATAGCTTACTTTATAGGGTTTCTGAGGAGCAACTGGTGAGCTTGAACTGCTGACCTTGCAGTTCAAATGGCTTTGCACTCTGGTGCATTAACCCACAGCACTGCATCAGGACTCCAACCACAAGGTAGTCAGTTCAAACTCACCAAGCACTCTCAGATACCCCGTAAAGTCCTGAGATGGAACTGACTCAATGGCACACAACAAAACGGGTAATGATAGCAAGCATTTCTTCATATGCTTGTTGGCTGTTGGCTGCCTGAACATTTTCTTTGGTGAAGTGTCTGTCTGAGTCCTCTGCCCATTTTTTAAATGAATTATTTGTCTTTTTCTTGTTAGGGTGTTGGAGTTTTTCTGTAAATGTTAGAGAGTAGTCCCTTGTCTGATATGTCTTTGCCAAACATTTTTTTCCCAATCTGTGGGTTCTGTTTTGGTGAATTTTTTGCTGCACCCGAGTGTCTAATTTTTAGGAGGTCCCAGTAACCCACAAGCTCATAAGACCCAGATACTACTCACTAAAGTAGGATGTAGAACTATATCTTTATCAACTATGTTATGCCAATTGACTAAATTATCCCCTGAGATTATGGTCCTAAACTTTTTAGCCTAGAAAACCAATCCTGTGAGTTTTTCAGATATATCTAGGAAGGCTCTATAACTGTGCCCCCTTATTTAAAAATTATGTAAAATTAGCCACATTTTGCAAAGAAGATGGAGACTCAGAGAGGGAGAAACTGGCCCAGGGTCACAAGGTGAATTACATGGTTGGGCCCTCTCTGCTTTGACATATGTCTATGTCCTACTTGTGTCCACTGGCAGGACAATCCCTAGGCAGGTACCTTCTGCACCTGCTGAGATTCTGTCCAACGTAAGCACTACCTCTTTCTTGGAGTATCCTCAGCTCCCCAAGATACTCTCTACCTACAGTTACTGTTTCAGGTTAGGTTCCTCAGGACTCTGAAATGGTGCGAAGTGTGCAGAATGTTAAATAAAGGCGATAAGCACTGGACTGCAAACCACAAGGTCTGAGGTTCCAGCCCACCAGCTGTTCTGTTGGAGAAAGGTGAAGCTTTCTGATCCCTCAACAATTAAAAGCCTCAGAAACCCTTCACAGGGTTGCTATGAGTCCAAACCAACTGGACAACACTTAACAACAAACAACATTCTTGAGATGGATCCCTGGTTGGAAGAAGGGAAGGAAGTAGGATTGAGCAGAGGTAGAATTTGGGCTGTGATATTGTCACAGTTGCCTCAGCTGACCCCATAGTGATAAAGTGGGCTTTGACTTCAGAGCTGTCCAGAGTTGGAACAAGAGGGGCAGGCCTTCAAATCGCGTTCTCCCCTCTACTCCCAGATCAACATTTGATGTGGGGGGCTCCTGAGAAGGGGTATGGCCATGGGTGAGAAGGCTTCCCCATGCCAAGGGCAGTTCCTTGAGTGCTGCAAGCTAATGTCCATCATCTGGCAGCTGGGGGAAAGGGTCCTTCAGCCCTGAAGGAGGATCTCGGTGGCTTATCACAGTGTCTACCATGTGCCACCGTAAGAGCTGCTCATTTATGTTCATCTTTTCCTCCCAGATCCAGTCCCTGGGCCTGGGGTAGAGGCACTGAAGAGCTTCCCTAGTGTATTAGTTTCCTAGGGTCGCTGTAGCAATGTATTGCCTCAGTTCTGGGACTAGAAATCCAAATCAGTGTGTTGGCCAGGTCATGCTCCCTCTAGAGTTTCTAGGGAAAGGAGACTTTCTTGTTGCCCTAGCTGCTGATAGCCCCTGGTGCTCCTTGCCTTGTAGATGTATCTTCACATAGCTGTCCTTGCTGTGTATCTCCTCTCCTTGTTACAATCACTACTCAGATGGGATTAGGACCCACCCTTCTCTAGTGTGACCTCATGTTAACATTTCCAAACAAGGTGATTTTCACCTTGTTGATAACAGGGGTTAAAATTCTTTGGGGAGATACTGTTGAATAATGATGTACGGAGGAGACTGTAGTCATTGGAATAAAATGATGACTGTAAAACCAATGTTCTCCCATGTAAACTATCACTCAATTCACAATAAAGATTTTTTAAAAATTCTTTTGGGAGACACAATTCAATCTTTAACACCTAGGTTTGAGGCCACGCCTCAATTCCAGGCCCAGTCTTGTACTCTGAGGATCTAAGAAGGTTCCAAGTCACCCTCCCACCGGAGTTCCCCGCAGTTGGCCTGGTCAGTGCAGCATCCAGACGCTGAATGCAGCGTCCAATACCAGGAACACTGCCAGAAATGGTCACATCTCAGCCAAGAGACAAAGAAGTGATGATGACAGCTCTTGTCATTGAGCTCTCACAGTGTAGAAGGCTCTAGCGGCGCATATCCTATCTGGTATTCATACTCAGGAGTCTTGTTGTGGCAATGAACCACCAGGTCAGTTTGAACCACAAGGTCAGTGGTTTAAACTCACCAGCCGCTCCTCAGAAACCCTATACAGGGTCGCTATGAGTCGGAACTGACTCACGGAACTTAACAACAGCAACATTTCATACCAAGGTGTTCTGGTGTGGACTGTAGGATAAGCACTTGGGCTGTCAACCACTAGGTTAGCAGTTCAAACCCACCAGTCCCTCCTTGGAAATCCTATACAGGATAGCTATAAGTTGGAACTGACTTGATGGCACTTAACAACAACATTCATGTCCATGCTATGGGTTAATAAGCATTGGGCTGTTACAGCTGCAAGATTGACAGCTCAAACTCACCCAGCTGCCTCTTGGGATGAAGATGAGACTGTGTGCCCTGTAAAGATTTACAGTCTTGGAATTGAGTTCAACGGCAGTGGGTTTGTTTTGTATTTTTGTTTATTTGTGCCCATGGCCTCTGTGTTAGGTGAGTCTTTCTTTCATTAGTCCCATTTCACAGATGGAGGAAATGAAGGCTGGTCTCAGACATTTCCTTAGAAAGGGCTAAGCTGGACACAGTGCCACCTGCCCCCCAGAGAGGTCCTAACACTCCCCAACCTACCAGGGGAGTCTGAATTGGCATTGTCTTAATCATTTCCCTCCCCAAGTCAACATTGGCATGAGCCCGGGTGCTGCTTCCTGCTGGGGGCTCCAGGGCTCTGGGTCTTGTAAATTAAGCGAACACCCCCCCAGTCTTCCTCCAGTTTGATGTCCCCCTGCTGCAGAGCTTGCTGGATGGCGTCGGCGAGGGTGTCAAAGGCCAGGTCCACATTGCTGTTGTTTCTGGCTGAGGTCTCCACAAAGGACATGCCTAGGGAAGTGGCCAGCTCCTCTGCCTCCTGAGCTGAGACACAACGGATGCTCTGCAGGTCACTCTTGTGGCCAACTAGCAAGAAAACTGCCTTGTCAGGGCCTTGGGTGGCCATGACCTCCTGATACCAGTCTGGAATGTGTTCGAAGGACTTTCTGTTTGTCATGTCAAAGACCAGCAGGACACCCACCATGTTTCGGTAAAAGGATCTGGTAATGCACCTGGTGAGAGAAGGAGGTAAATTGGAGCAGCCCCAGGGTCAGAACCTCCTCTCCTGAGAACCACCAAATCCTCCCATGCCTTCATTATAGCTCAGTCCACATTGCCCTGTGATCTCTGTTCCTTATCTCTGTCTCTCCCAGGAGACTGGGTTCTCCCCAGATCAGGCAGGATCAAGTTTGATTCACATACTATTCTCTCGATTCAGATTTTAGACCCCTGTCTACTGGTTCATCTACTCAACCTCAAGACCCAACTTTAACATCTCCTGACACCTCCCTCCTCCCTGCACTCCTGCAGACGCTCAGCACCCAGGTCATTCAAACCTCCATGTTCCAAAGTCTGAGTCCATCTCCTCTCAAAGTCTGAATGTTCTCTCAGGGCTCTCACCAGTGTGAAGTATCTGGGCTACCCAGCATGATCCAAGGGTGTTTGTAGGATGAATCAGTGGAGCAAGGGAGGGTCTGGGACTTCCTGAGCTCTGGGGCAGAGACTGCCCCAGCCCCCACCTCCGAGCCGAACATACCTTTTCTGCCCGGCTCCCTCTCCCTGCAGCCCCAGCCCGCACCTGAAGCGCTCCTGGCCCGCCGTGTCCCAGAGTTGCAGCTTAACACGCGGCCCGGTCCGTAGCTGCAGCGCGCGGCTGTAGAACTCGACGCCCACCGTAGGCGCCGTGTCCGGCTCTGGCTCCGGCTCGCAGGACCCCGGCGCGCCTGCCACGTAGCGCCTCAGCAGCGATGTCTTGCCGACGGCTGCGTCCCCCAGCAGCGCGATCCGAAACTGGCAGTGGTAGCCTCCAGCCGCCATGGTCCGCTCGTCGGTACCCCGCCAGCCCGCAGCTGTTTGTTCCGCCCCGCCCCTGCCCGGCGAGGGCCCTCCTCCGGGGACGCGGGCTCAGCGCAGGCCCAAGCGCGACCTCCCAACCCCACGGAGGACCCAGCACCCAGAGCCGGAGGACCAAATCTCGGGGAAACCGGACAAGGTGGAAGCTCCTGAGCGTAATCACTTCCTGGCTCTGAGCCTCGCTGTTCGCGGTAAATGGGGATGAAAGTAATCCAGAAGGATAAATTCTGGATTCCTTACAAGATAGGCGGTTCAAACCCACCACCCGCTCCTCGAACACCCTATACAGAGTCGCTATGAGCTGGAACCGACTCGAGGGCACTAACAACAATGGGAGAAAGGTTATCTAAGCAAGCATTCCTATGAGACTAATACTGCATTCATTACATTCATTCTTAGTTCATTTCTCTCTCCAGCACCGGATTGGTTCTCCAGTTTGGCCCCTGTTGCTGGGCCTGTAGATGCTAAATGAAAAGTAGATGGTTTCTTCCCCTCTGTCAAATAAAAGAGGTTTAATTCTCTGTTGAAAATAAGGGGAGTCCCTCTTTTCTTTCAGAATTATCTTCAGAAAACTTGCAAATTTTTTATCTCCTTAAAAAATGTTTTTTAAGTGCCATCAAGTTGGTTCCTACTCCTAGTAACCTTATATAGGGTTCCCAAGGAGCAGCTGCTGAGTTTGAACCACCAACCTTGTAGTTCAAACTGACCTTGTGGTCCAGTGCTTTAACCTACTGGGCTACCTAGAAAATTTCCTCTAGGACCTGGACTATCTCTTTTGAAATCATCAAGAGAGATCACTCCCTAAATTCCAGTTTCCAGGAGGAAAATCCCATCACTTTAAGTGAATTTGGGCTCTAGTTGCAAACCTCACTCCAGCCATAAAGAAATTAGGGATTTGACACTTTTATCATGAAAACATGATGGTAATGGGTCACCACATTTTACTTTAATGCTTATTCAGTAAGAAAACTGTTTGCTTTCTCTTCTGTTTTTTTTTTTTGTGGAGGGTTTTTCTGGGTAGGAATAACTCTGATTTTGTTTTTAATACATTTCCCCAACACCACCCAAGTGTGTGTTGCTTCTCTGTTTCCTGGAGACTCACTGGCTTTAACCTGCGGCCTCTGGTTCAGTGTTCAACAGCCTCCACAGATCCCTTCTGCCAGTGTGTGTGGGCATTAGGGTCTCAGAGAAGGACCTGGACAAAGAATGCAGACATAGTCTGGTAGAGGAGGCAGGACAGACATAAACAACTACAATCCCAAGGAGGGACTGGTTGGCCAGTGGATTTGACAGGTAACATTTATGAGACCAGATGGCCTGTTCCTTGTGCTTTTTGAGCAGTAACCCTTTGAGGTGGTGGGGGTTACGTGCCATTGAAATGGTTCTGTCTCATAGTGACCCCGTGTAGGGTTTCCAAGGCTACAAATCTTTACAGGAGAGAAAGCCTCATCTTTCTCCTGCTGCGCAGTATTACCACCAAGGCTCCTTTGAGAGTGCCATGTTGTTTTGTTGTTAACCATTAAGTTGGTTTCAATTCATATCAGCCCTACAGCCCTGCATAGGTTTTCAGAGAAGGATGGAGTTGGATCACCAGTTTTGCAGTTAGCAGTCCAGTGCTTCTTATCCTACAGCACCATCATAGTTTCCCTGTATAGGGTTTCTGAGGGGCAGCTGGTGGGGTAGAGTGCCCATTTTAGAGTTAAGGAGACTGATATTCAAAAGGTTGGCTTGTCCCAGGTCACACAGCAAAGCTGAAACTCACATTCTTCATTACTCCCTGGCTGTCGCAGAAGGGCCTGCAAGGGAGGTCCCAAGAGAATCAAGACACAGTGGTCAGTTCTAATTTGGTCTGTTGTTGTGGTCTCTCAAGTGTGTTCCAACTCTTTGTGACCCTATATGGTTTCCTAGACGGTACTCTTTATGGCACAGTCCTGATGTAGTGATGTAGGATAACCACCGGATTATTAAGTGCAAGGTCGGTGGTTCAAACCCACCAGCTGCTCCTCAGAAATTCTATACACGGTTTAGTCAGAACTAAGTCTTCAACACTTAGCAACAACAACACTCTTTACAGTAACTAGGTCTTTTCTCCTGTGGAACTATTGGTGGCAATTTGGGTAAATGTTGAATTCTACCAGAAAACCCTGTAATGCAGGAAAAGAGCAATGGCTAAAGAAATCTCCCCACCCTTTGTGTTCAGGAAACTAGCTGACTGCAAAGAACACTTACTGATGCCCCCTTGTTCACCATGGAAAGGACTGATACCAAAACCAAAACCAAACCCAGTGCCATCAAGTTGGTTCTGACTCACAGCGACCTCATACAAGCTTTCCAAGGCTGTATATCTTTATGAAAACAGAAAAACCTCATTTTTCTTCCAAGGAGCAGCTTCTGGGTTTGAACTGATGTTAGCAGTCCAGTGCTTATCCTATAGCACCATCAGAACTCCTTTAGGCCAGACACAGACACTCTGAATTCCCCTTCCTCTCATCTTGCGTATGTCCACTGATAAATCAGAAACAAAGTATTGATAACTTCTCCTCCAAGTCCCTGAACTTTGGCTCACCCTCAGCAGCTGAGCATCAAGGCCTCTCTAAGGGCCCCTCCCAGAGAGTAAGCTGATCTCAGCATAAACTTTCTGGTTTACATTACGATGATGTCACCTTCTCACCCCTCTGCCCCACACTAGCCTTATTTATTCTCAGTCTCCATAAAAGAAATGTGTATTCTCTAATTCTGAGATACTTGCTGATTGTAGTATTTTCCTATTATAGTATCTTCCTTCCTCTCCATTTCCCCCTTTTCTTTCTGAACAAAGTCTGAGTCTGTTATTTGACAGGGGTGAGGGTAAGGTTGGTGTGTCTGCTTCCAAGATCCACTGGAGCACTCTGGACTGACATGTTGTAAACCCAGGGCTTCTAGACTAGAGTTCTGACTGGTTCCAAATAGCTTAAGTCTCTTCATTTGCTCCCTGATCATTCTCACTGTCCCACTTCCAGGGAATTTTAACAATCTGCTGCAAACCATAACATCACATTTTTGACTCACTCAACTTCATTAGCCGGTATTGTTATTCTGCCATTTTTATAGATGAAGAAACCAAGACTCAAAGAAGTTAAATAACTAGCCCAAGATCACTTAGCAAGGAAGTTATAAGGCCAGGACTAACCACCAGGTTAGTTAGTTTGTTATTTTTCTCTTCTGACAGCACAGGTTAAGGATCTAGAACAGTTTTTCTTCTGGCTAATTCTAAAGAAATTCATGGGAAGCCATTCTGTCAGGTCTGCAAGTACTTCCTGCCACTGGTCACTGACAGAAGTCTCTGTTCTTCATCCTACTTTCAGGAGTAAAAGAGAGAGGAGAATGATAATGGAGCAACTTTGAAGGACCTTAGAAAAGGGGTGTATGTCTCTCTTGCCAGTTCTGTCCAAATCTAGAGATTCTGCCCCACTCTTACCTGCTGGGCCAGAGCTCAGCACTTCTTCCACTAGAATGTTCTCCCTACTCGTTTTGGTTCTGCTGGGAAAATATTTGTTGCTTGTTGCCTCATATCACTCCTGGACCTGGGGATGCCCCAACCCCTTCTCTTACCTTCCACTGGGTGCTCTGGAGTGTCAGCAGTGCCAAAGCCCCTGTCTCCTCTGCCCTCTGCCCTTCGAAGGCTGACTAACCCCGACTTTAGGCTTCACTTTAGATTCCCCCATCCTAAGACCCTCACTGACTGCCCCATGATGTCACATGCCATTTTGCTGTGATATCTGTCATTCTCCTAGGCTGCAAGCTCCTGAGCACAGGACCCAATGGTTGTATTCCACCTCATAGAATGCCTAGCACAAAGTAGGAACTCAGTAAATATTTGTGGTTGAATGGATGAATGAAAGTGGATAAATGCTATCCATTCATTAATTCAGTCAGTCAGTCAATTTAATACAATACAGCTGGACTCAGGGAGCCACTGGGCACAAAAGACATCTTGGAAGAGATGATGCGAAAGCTGGGTCTCTAAGTGGGAGCTGGGGAGGTGAGGCAAGAAAGGCACTGACAGGAATAGCTGGGCAAAGGCAAGAGGCATGAAAGAGCTTGAAATGCAGTTTGAATTCAGCCCTCCCAGAAGCCTCTCTGGTCAGCACATAAGTAGTGCACTGTCAGCATCAGCCTCCCCATACTTCCTCCCGCTCCTAGACGCTCCTGGCTCAGTAGCTGGGATCATGTGCCTGCCTCAGACTGCACCTGACACCCAAATCTTGATGTCAGCTGATTCTTCCCATAGACTCACTGTATGACCCAGAGGCAAGTCCCACCTTAAATCCTGCTTACTTTTCTGCTATAGGAGGCCCTGGCGTTCCTCATCTCCATGGCTTCCTTCATGGGGTATCTGTCTCTGCCCACCCTCTCAGTTTGTGCTTGCTTTTTCTCTATATATCTGCTGCTTCTAGGGAGCCCTGATGTCACAACTGTTACATCCAGCTGCTAATTGGAAGGTAAGTCGTTCAAGCCCATTTAGGGGCTCCGAGGGAGAAAGACCTGGTGATCTGCTCTTATAAAGATTCAAAAACCAAACCACTTACCATGGAGTTGATTCTGACTCAAAGCAACCGTCTCTATAGGGCAAAATAGAACTTCACTGTAGGTTTCCGGAGTCCTGGGATGGCGCTATAGGATGAGCACTGGACTGCTAACCATAAGGCCAGTGGTTCAAATCCACCAGTTGTTCCTTGGAAATGCTATACAGACTAGCTATGAGTTGGAACCAACTCAACAGCACTTAACAACAGCGACATAAGGTTTCCAAGATTCTAATGTTTAAGGGAGTTGACTGCCACATTTGTTTACCAGAAAGTGCTGGTAGGTTCAAACTGTCCATCCTTTGGTTGAAAGTCAAGTGCTTAACACTGCACCACCAAGGCTTCTTCCCATAAATGTTGTTGTAGTTAAGTGCCGTCAAATCAATTCCGACTCATAAT